GAGGCATGCGCTTGAGGCGGTACATGAGACATGATACTGTCGCAGAACGCAGGTTGAAATTTCGGAGGCTTCGCACACACAGCCCAGCTCAATACCGGTGCTCGCTGAAATCGCAAGCTCCGCAGCGAAACCGGGACCCGATGCTCAGCAGCCTCGCATCGGATCGAGGTTGGAGCCGGAAACTTGAATCACCGTTAGAAATTCGCTGCGGTGACGCTGAACTCGGAGTAGGGGTCGTTCCAAGCGACCAGCTGACGTCCATGGAGCGTCGTGAGTAGGCTGTGTGTTGTTCTTCAGTTTCATCTGAGGAGTTGCTCAAAGCGTGTGGCTGACAGTGGAAATTAGGGTTTCACTAAACGCCATGCCAGGCGGTAAGGAACAAGCTATTGGAACGGACCCGACGGTGCTTCACTGTCGGTGCTCCACGCATCCCACGCGAATCACTTTTCACTCATCGGTTTGACACTCTCGATGAGTTTTGTGGACGTAGACGCCAGCGAGCACAGTAAGCGAGCCGACGCTCCGGGAGCGCTCCTAAAAGAGTTTTTCGTTCATCGAGAAGTCCCAATCAAAATCTGGAAAGGAGTCGAAAATGCTTCTCTGAACGCCCACAGTTACGTCAATAACCGAATGGCTGACTGACTGACTCAGCGCTCGATCAATCGCTCGCTTCTTCGAGAGATGGATGACTCTACTTTGAAAAAGACGGATGAGGGAGACTCTCGATTGCGAATACGGTATACAAGGCGACTTCTTATGTCTTTCAGAATTTCCAACGCGCACCGGTTGCAGAGAGGGCTTGCGGGAACGCTTCGGAAAAACAAGTGTCAGTCTATAGCGGGATCATAGAGGTGGACCTCCTGATCTCCCTCAAAACTGGTTAGATGCCTCCAGAATCGAAAATGACTGATCAGCCGCGGCCATCGACTCGAGCGAAGCCGACAGCGAGCTTGATCACGCGAACGTGGGAGTCCTGCATTGTGGAATCCATCATTGGCAGTTGAAAGCAACGACATGTCGATTTCTCAATCGACATGTATTGTATACATGTACGAGCTTCCGGCTTTTTGGGAGTAAATAGTGGAATGGACTTCTTCCTCGAAATCGTCCGCCCGAGGGAACAGAGCCCATCCGGCGATCGTTGACGAGTCTCAAAAAAATCGTTCGTGCCGAATCGCATCTCCCTTTGCGACAGATTCATTCGACGATCCCCCCGCGAATGCGCCGTCTTTTTTCCTTTTCCTGGGTGGACAGATATCTTCACAGAAACACTGAGGCGAAGAAACCGACATGACTCACCACTCCACCCGACCGAAGTCTCATTGCCTAAGTGACCAACATTGGACATTTACGACGGCATTCCGAACATCCATCTGTGACTGTGCCGCTCCGCCAGGCCGACCTCTAGCAATCTTTCAATCGAGACTTTCCCCTACCGCCGGGGTCGCTCGCTGTTCCGAATCGCACCTTGTTCCGTATCCGGTTGAGCGTTTCTGAGGGGCACTCTTACAAAGCGCTCCTCAGCGACCTTGCACTTCAAGCATCAGCAAAATGAATCTCCTTCCGATGGATCCCCTCCATCGAGGGCAAATCAACCAGCGTGCCAGGTAAGCAAAATGGACGGAAAGACTACGACCGGAGGAACGCGCCAAGTCGGCTTCCTACTCGATCTTCGTGAGCTCGTAAGAAGTCACGAACCCCAACACAGCCACCCGCGCTCTGGGTGTGGCTGGCTCAACTTCGGTGAATTCCGAATAATAGATCATTGTTACCTCATCGGTATCAATTGAAACCGATCCATAGCGAAGGCGTGAAGATGCAATTTTGTTCGTCTGTCCCCCGACGCTCTCGCGACGCTTGGGTCAACGAGGACGAGTGGTGGAAAGAGGCCATATTCTCATTGTAATACAGTTAAAATGGAACCAAAGAACGTCTGGACACATGCGTATAATCTTCAGCACAAAGCTGACGGATCACCGACTCATTGAGCACAGACTAGCAGGGATCGTAGATATCCGCTCACCTTATGAAATGTCCAGACCGGTCACAGGAGGGAGGGATTGATCATTAAAGCTGCAGGACATATTCTTCTTAGGAATGAGGCTCTCCGTTTAGTAATGTGCCATGTTTCGCAGCCGGCTTCGAATCGCAGAGGATTTCCTGCAAATGATTGGACTAATCTTACGATATTCGAGACAGCACACTGACTGAAGAAGGAGTTCTGGGCTCGAATCAGGTGACGAGAGCAAACTCCCGGCCTCGAGGTGCGAAATCGGCTCGGAGCTCTCATTTCGCGGCGATATTTCGTCCGAGCCTTCCATTCCTTTGATGTTGTGTACCTGAGAATCATCACAATCCGGATATCTACCTGGTGGAAGAGCCACAGAAGCCCGATCGAGCTCGGTCAAAGGGACCTCGTGGGATAGCCCTACAGTCTGGAGGGCGAGACTTCTTCTGCTGCCTTTCGCCGAAGCATATCCTCGTCTCCGGCTGATAGTGTCGTTGACTCTCGAATCTCTCTGTCGTAGACAGCTGCTGCTTCAGCCTGTGTGCAGCTCTCTGATACCGATACCGGCTTCCGTTCCTCCCCGTATCGCGGATGGAACTATGCGCGATGTTAGAAGTTCAGCCGCATAGGACCGTGAGCCGAATGACGTGGTCTCTCCGCGATATATTTTGGGAGAAAGGAAAAATACAATCCCAGCCAGAACTTCGCTTCCCTTAATCAAGCGGCGACTCCGTTCCCTGATTGTCTGGGATCGGACTGCCTCCCGACAAGCCCTTCCGATCGGGCTCGACTCTCGTCGTCAGAGCAGAGAATCCTCATTTCTGGGATCAGGAAGCGATCACCCAGATCAGTGCTCAGGTCGGTGTCTTCCTGAATGTTTGCCTCTCTTGGAGATAGCTTCAGGCCCAGAAACCTGGAGAGGAAAGGTTCTCGCGGGCCGAACTCGCGATCTAACGTCGTCGGTGATTCCAGTGTCTGAGCGCGAATTGGTCGAACGGCGACGCAACGGTTCCTCTTGGAATGAGGAGTTAAGTGTACAACGAGCCGTCGCTCAAAAATTTCCGAGTACCTCGTGGAGGAGAGCGACGAAAAATCTAGCGTCGCCTTCGAGATTGTCCGCGTACATGCATACCCCGTGAAGATATAACTCTTCGGCAGAAGACGAGGGAACCCGGAGCCTATCCAGAAGACCACGATTGGCGGCTCGGAGCTAAGCGTCGCTTGTTGTCGATCTTTGGGGTTGCGCAGCTCCCCAGCCGAGCGCCAGCGATCTTCAAGGAAATAACCTGTGGGTAGGGAAATGGAGGATGACATAGTGATGGGCCGTAGAGGGAGATATCGCGATCATTGGGTCCGGTTGCATCAAGCCAGCTCGCGTAGCTGCCTGTTCTAATTTTTCCTAGGTTGTCTTGCGCCCCTCTCAGATATCCGCGCCGGGCAAGTTTCGGTCTCCCGATTCGGCATTCTCGAGGAGAGCTTTGCCCGCGTTGCTTCCTCATGCTCGGAACTTCCCGACTACCCCGACGTGTCGCGGAAGCGGTCAGCGGGTGCCACATGGTTAAGTGAATGACTACATTCCTTTCCCGCCTCTATGTCCTTCTTCATCTCTTATCCTTTCTGCTTGATGTCAGAATCTTACCGGGGAAAGTGCAACAAAGGCGGAGATCCCCCGGGAGAGCGAATTTGTAATTCTGACTTCCGAGGGAGAGTAGGATATGATTCTCTGTCGACTGCCTCACTGCGCGGCTCTGTCCGATTTCCTAACGGTACTATTCTGCGGACCTTCAATCGATCTCGATGAGGAAGGACTGATTCAGATTTTTACTTGAGAACCATCACTGGGGTCGTTTTGCCAGTGCAGAGGTGCTCGCAGCGGTGCTTGATTGGTACGACGCCGGCGTGGAGAAGGCCGATTAGTAGAGTCACGATATGATAGAACATTTTCCTCCTGAAAAAAAGCGTTGTCCGCGCAGACATTGGGACGAAGAGCGGGCATCGAAGGTAGGCGCTTGGAACCATGTTTTCGACCCGTTCTATAAACATGATTCATTTGTGTCAGTATTTTTTCGAAAAGCAAGACCGGGTTGGACTCCAACGTCCCTATATGATCGTTCGGAGGCGATTCGCTGTGGAGAGAACCCCCGATCCAGCCCTTGGCTCATCCTCGTGCAGTCAGGACGCGCGGTAATTCTATTTCTTACCGGAATCAGAGCTTCTTCCTCGGGAATTCCGAGAAGCGGACATTCTCTGGGAGACACCGGGACAAAAAAGCGGACAAAGAAGGGTGTCTCTGAAACCGCAACTCTAGTAATAATACATCGCCAGAGGATCATTCGGAATCATGGCCCGCGTCTGCCGAACCTCTCAAGGCAGGGGAGAGATCCAGCGAAGAAATCTAGGAACTCTCCCCAGATATAAATCTACTTGATTCCAGTGACGCATCCAGCAGACGGGTGAGCTCTCGAAAGAATCCAGCAGTTCTGAACGAGAAGACTCCACAGGAATGAGTCGGAAGCCACATTTGAGACATAACCACAGTGCTTTTCCCGTCACACATCGCCGGAAATGATATGGAACATCGAACACAGTCCAACAAAGAGCCCCGATTTGAACATCTATCTGATTGCCGAATTCCGCGAAGGTATCCTGGGACCGATGGAAAAGCCAGGCGGAGCGGAAATACCCGAGCGTTCCTGTTGTGTAGGCATTAGAGAGCATAGAGTGATTCGGTGATAGAAAGTATCTTTGAAAGAAGTAGCTCGAATAGTATCTTGATCGACTTTGCTTGAATCCTTGTCGCCTCGATAAGTATATCTTAGGACTTCCCATCCCGTTTTGGCGAATTCCTAGCCGGGATAAGGCTGCCGAGCGCAATGGATAGGTGCCACAGCGCTTAATCCTGATCTGTCTACGAAAAGGAGAGGAATGCTGACTTCGAATCCTACGGTGATTAGTAATCACTGATTACAGAAAGGGACCTCGATTGCTGAAAGTTGATGTTTATGATCATTTTCAAGTTAGCAGTCCAAGAATCTAGAGCCTATAATATTATGGATGAAAATATTCTTGCCATCCACAGACAATCACAAAGTCAGCGCTGATAACTCTCGCGAGTTCTATCAGGCATCACATGAGCAAAATCATTCGTCGGATGAGACCCATCCATTCGGCAATTAGCTAGAGCTCATCGCCGTATCCTACAAATTCAATTGAAAGTCGGTTCTCCTCTCGACCCATTTTCCGTCTTCGACGGTTTTCTCCGAGTATGAGGCACTACCATCTCCTCGTATCAGGACCACGGTATGGGTCCGGGATCCATAGTTGAATTCTTTGATATAAAATTTGAGAGCACCTCGCAGGGTCAGTAGATCTTGGGGTTCGTCTGTGGGATGAAGAGGGCATTGCCGCTTGATTCAGAACCAATGGTGTATCAGGTACGGAAGGACTTGAATGATTTTTCGGGTATGATAAAGAGTGGAAAGCGACTATGCGATCCGCAATCCTATCATTGTTCTCCATACCTGTCTGCTTGCGCATAAACTCATCGACCCCATGATTAGTCTCATCGTTCATCAAATCGAAGAGCGCTTCCTCCAATAGCTTCTCGTCGTGCTTATTCTTCTCCACGACTTCTTCGAATTTCTCCTTTCCGGCAACTACCTTGGGCCACTGTCGAGGCAGAATGCTGTTTCCGAAAGCATGATAGCCTGCAAACGCCAGAACTTCGACGTCACACCACAGTCCACGCATTGTCGTCAACTTCCATCACAATTTCCGCGTGCTTCGTCCTCTCAACGTCGATAGAACAAGCCGAGCTCCTCACCTGCTCCGAGGTTCTGGACTTCCATGTCGCCCATGCTGCAGAAGTAAGAACCGTATGCCTGTTTCAAATCTACGCAGACCAACGTGAATCCATTGAAGTTTTCGCGATCTTTGTATAAACTCTGTAGAAGGAGCGAGTTGCTTCCGAGTAAGACGGGTGTCGATTCTCGATGATGTTGATAAATGGTAAATGAGAATCTTTCCCTAGAGCCGTACCTGTGCGTACTCGTCTGGCGTGATCGTACTGCTACTTTTCGCGAAGTCCACAACAAGGAAGCCTCGACCTCGCTTCCCAGCGAGAAGTTCTTCGTCTCTTTGCAGAATATTCAGGAGTGAAGCAAAACGACCGTTTTTGTTGAAAATCAACCAGGCTCCACCCTCTCGACCGGGCTCTAGATCCATTCCTGAAATGCGCGAGTAAGGATCCGAATATCTCTCGCTCGGAAATCCCATGCCGATCGTCGGTGGAAGCAAAGCACCAGCTTTTCATCTCTGTTCACCGTGAGTCTCACAATGCTCCCCAAATCGAGTTCAGGGTGGAACTAACCTCCGATTAGGTTCGGGTCCTTGCTCCACAGGTGGGCAGGCGCAGTAGGCCTGACGAAAAGTTCATCCCTGATGCTAATTAGGATGAGTTTGTAACCTTTGGGAGAAGTTTCCGACGGATTCAGGTAGAAGATGAGCACGCACATTTTCTTAGAGACGCTGGAGATGGCAAGGAGATCCGCATCAACACTGGGAAAATCAGAACCTTTTAAGTTCTGCTGACGATGGCGAGAGATCTAGTCCTGAAAACTCTCCATTATCATTCAGAGAAAGCGCTGTTCAATTGAGGATGTGATTCCTCATGACAACGAGTTTGACCGGAATATACGACGCGACGTCAGAAATCGTCGCTCGCTTTCAAAGGATGGTCAGCCCGACAGACGGAAATTGAACTGTGCCCAGATCGCGTCATTTCTTTCTCTCCTCCCGTCCGGGATCGCCGATAATCATTTGAACACATAGCAATTTGAGGAGAAAACTGAGACCTTATCCGGCTAAAGTAGTATCGGCTGTAGCCCCCGGTCGATCCCGCTCATGCATGAACGGTATCTGTGACCAGAATCGATCGTGCGTGAAGTTGCTTACTTTATGTGATCGAATCGACGAAGAAATAGCTCCAGCTGACTGAGAGGGGTCATTCAACTCCAAAGGGCTGGGAGGCTCATGTGTCTCCCATCGGAGGGGACTAATTGAAAGCACTAATTCCTCTTGTCGAACTTCCTCCTGAGGAGATATTCTTCGTTCAGAGTAGCCTACCTAGTTCTGGAAGTCGACAGTAGTCAGGATCCAGGGTAACTGCGACGTTTGCAGAACCTGGTTTACAGGTCGTTCACGGCAATCGGCTGACCCGATTTCCATGATCCCACCCCGTTTAGAGATAAGCGGCTTGCTACACGTGTGCGCGGGAGAATAGTTTCCTGTGGTCTATTCTCGAAGACGGGTTTCTTCCGGGTTGATTAAAGTGACACTTCTTGTAACAATGGCACGCACGGGACTAGCCGAATTTGTTCCGTATGACGAATGTGAATCGAGATGAGATCTCGTCGGCATCAACTCCAGGCATGAAGAGATGGTGCAGGAATCCTCGGCTGAATGAAAGTTTCGATGTGGGTATCCGTCTCTTGAAGGTACTCTGCGCTCGATTGACAAGTCCTCGATTTTTCTCTCTCGACGCCGCGTTTCGGGAACGTACGGATTCGAGAATTCAGGAGGGAGACGGCATGCATCATCTCCGTGAATTATTGGAGAGACGAAAAAACCTATAGACTGATGACCACGATGAGAAAAATTCAAAATTTTCTGACATGAGCGTTGACAAGGGAACGCGGTGCGCTACCGACACTGCCGAGACGACTTCGAAATCTGGCGGAGAAATATCAGTCCCGTCCCTAAGCATATAGCGGATAGGGTGTCGACTTCCACTTACAATTCCTCAGCGACTTCACGATACACAACGATCCGTCCCGGACTTGCAAAGCCCTTGACACCGCGGTGGATTCCGGGCTGTGTGGAAACTCGGGAGGGCTCGCTCCGTGTGTTTCTTCGATTGGGTGAGGATGTATGTGGATCCCACGATTAGTCTACTCTCGCACTCGATGTTCCCTGGCAGTCCCTCTCTGGAAATGTGAGCTGCCTGCGCGATATCGAGGCTGGAGCGCAACCCTGGGAGCCACCGCTGGGAACCTTTTGGACGATAGGCCTGTGCTTTATCTGTTGAAGGTGCAGGGACTTTTTTGTCGGAGAAATGTGGTTTCCCTGCAGTTGGAATCACGGATGGCTGCTATGACCCATCAGAGTCTACCGTAGAGTCTGCCGGTGCTGCTGCCGCCGCACAGAAATCAAAACAGCCGGTCGCGCCCTCTGGATTCTCCGGCCAGAAGCTATCTTCCACAGTCGCGCAAAGGCGCGAATCGAATCCCTCACCGGGCAGTTGAGAAACTGGAGCCACGATCCTCTCTCGATCATCAAGCTTGCGAGAGGCAAGTGCGCATAAAAATTCTCGGCAAGTTCGACGGGGTAGTGCTTCCGAAGTTTCGTAGGGAGGGATTGAATGATGATTTGAGTTGCGATACAAGAAGACACGTCCTTCCATGTTCGCCGCTTGGGTAATTCCAGAATTACTCCGGTTTTCGAAATCATTGGGTGAATAGCAATAATTTCGATTGAAAATTTAATTCCCGGGCTATATTTTCATTCCTGGCACCGAGGTCTCCACCGCTCCAGCATGAGCTGAGCGTTGAATCGGAAGTGTCCTCCTCTGCGAGTCGTCTCTGTGCGATCGTATGCGCACATTGATGTTCAGCCGGAAGTTGCTTATCGGGGAAATACTTGAGGGGTAGAATTACACTGAGGAACAGGCAGAGAACATGGGATGGAAATTCAACTTTCAATGTCCGCTCCAAGTCCCATTGTTCGCGCGAACATTGTGTTTTGGTCGAGAGAGCAATTTCCGCTCTTATCGCAACTCTAATAATGATGAAAGGCTCTTGAAAATCGTTCTCCCTCGTCAGATTGACCGATCGGGAGGCGGTGTGGGTTCGATCCCTGCTGCCGGAAAAATATGCAGGTACTCGGCCTTGATCCTCCTGGGTACATTTGCTCTATGGATCCGTCCTCGGAAGCAATGTGAATAACAGTACCCGGGACGTTAAACCTTGGCTGTGTGGATCAGCCCGAAAAAGTTTAGATTGACCGATCGACCGATCCTCAACCTGGCAGGCAGGGTATGTGCATGGACTCATCCATCAGAGCTGATAGGTATACTCAAGTAGCATACCATATTCGGCGTTTCCGTACCGGAACCTCGAGACAAGACACCTCTACCACCCGCCCTCTCCTCAGCGATGATGATTCTCGAGATGACTGTCGATAATAGAGCTCCGTCCAAGTCTCGGAACTCCCCGTAGGAGGCGGAATGTTTTCGAGCGCAAATCATGTCGTGTGAATCAAGGGTCTTTGAATGATTTTACGCGACGAGTTTTCAGAAGCCTGGATTGACGCTTACGACCTACGGTCCCGTCGTCCATCCCATTCGCCCACATCGGTTGCTACCCCGGACCGTTTCGAGTCTCGGAATGAGGAGCTCCAGGAGAAGCCGAGACCTCTCTGATTGTGAGAGAACCGGTGAAATTACGACATCATGGCTCATGATCTAATGATACCGATCGTCAGTCAGCTCTTACTATCGGTTCCGGATGCGGAATTTCAAACCGATTGAGAGATGCCCAGGAGCGATAATGACTCAAGTTGACCGAGCGACCGATCCCGTTGAGAAGATGAAATACAAGGTCGCTCTGTCGTTCATCGTCTCGACCTGTGTAGTGCCGAATCCAACGTTAATCGTCATTCCCCACCGATAGCTCTTCCGTAAAACAGGGGATGAGAAAGCTCCGCGCGTAAGCTTGGGCGTCGTGGGCGCCACGGTGGCGTCCGTTTGTGCGCGGGCTGACCGTGCGGTTTGTCGGTCTGTCGTTCGCTCGCTGATTCGTTCAGAGGAGGTCCCCAGCTTCGACGACATGAAGACGGCTGGCCGGTCCGGCGGTCGGTCGCTCGCTTGCTTGCTCGGTCGGCGAATTGAACGACGACGGTTTTGACCAGCCGTTGAAAGCTCCCTTCATTTCTGGGTGGTCTCGACGTCTCGAATTCCGTCGCGGCTGGCTGACTATCGAGGGGTACTTAGTTCGACGGATAGGAAGTTTTCGTCTGCGGATCTGGCGGCAGCTACTTGTTTGCTCAACAAGCTTTCTTCAACTGATCATCCAAGCTCCGTTCAAGACCTCATCCGGGAGACAATTTACTGCCTGCTTGAGTTCTCGTCGGCGTATCCCCTTCTTCAGTCAGTCGGGCTAAACCTACTTCAAGGTCGGGATCCGTGGCTTGACTTCTCGGAAGCGTGGAATTTATATGCTGAAAAAGCATTTGAGGACATCGAGATGGAATCGGAGAAATTACGACAAGAAGGAAGGATAAATCGAGTTCGGATTGTATATGGGATTCAGGTTCACTCTCCTTTCGGCACGCTTCCCTCCGTGCTTGTAAATAGATCGAGAGTCAGACGTGGGGTCGCGGAGTCGCTTTGACACATAACCGAAGTGTCAATGGCCGCAAGGATTCCTAGTCTTGCTGTGATCGAGCGCCAGAGCTTCTCACGTTCTGTCCTCATTCAAATGGGAAGCCCTCCAGAACTTCGTTCCGCTGCTGCTATTGAACGACCACGAGGAATGTGATTGTCATAGAAGTGTTGCATTGTGAATGCTCTCGCTGTTCTGCCTCTGTTCCTCAAGAGGCTCTCGCTGAGGATTTTCTGAGAGCGTACCGCGTTCGATGCTTCTGACCGAGTGAGCCTCGGTAGCAGCTGATCGCAGGACATTCTGCGTTCGGACTCGCCGCTCGGAAAGTCAAGGGGACTTCCCCTAGAAATCAGAGCGACAAGCTTGATGGGGGCAGAGAGATCCAGGATAAAATTGTACCGACCTCGGAATCGCAAGAATTCTGGTGGAATCCGTGTCGGATCTAGGATACGGTGGAAGCTCGTTACAAGCAATCTCGCGGGCCGAAAAAATATGTTCGTTGTGACGAGAATTCCCTGCAACCAATGTTGTCCATCATCATGTCTGTGGCGAGCCAGCCAAAAAGAGGGGAGAAAAAGTTCGTCCTACTGCAAATTCCTCTCGGTGTCGGTTTTTGTTGGAACAACATTTCACCGCATCTCGAATTTTCCGCTGCATCACGGACCTCTTCCTACAGCGCGATCGCGGAAAACCAAATCCTAGCCCGTGCGTCGAAATCTGAAGTCCTCCGAGCTTCGGGGCCTGGGAAGCCAGTCGCTGAGATGCCTCGGAAAGATTTTCGCCGTAAAAATTCGATCGCCGGCCCGATACTAATCTGATACAGTGGAAACGTACCAGCATCACTACTCTCCAAACAGACTATTGGGTCGCAAGCATTTCATTGAGTGAGAGACACCCGGCTAGACAGTGCGGACCTGAAGTTCCGAGTCGACAGACAGACGCCACTTTTTGTTCGACTTAAGCTCCGAGGAGTCTTGTTAGGTACCGGGAGATATGCCACTCCTGCTGCCTCCCTCAACAAGTTTATTTTGGGTGGGATCAAGGCGAATTGGGTCCAATTAGGCGTCGAAATCTATTCAGATGAATGAATCGCTTCGAGAAGATCGCCAGACAGCGATAGAACCGCACTGTTGCACAGAGGCGCCGCGCATCTCCGTATTCGAGCCTCAGTGGTAGACTGACTGGCTCCACAAAGCCCCACATCGCACTCGATAAATGATTATCGAAAGGCGCTCTAATTTTCGTTTTTCTCTCTTTCGACCTTTCGGGCCGTAAGGGTAGAGAGAAGCTTCCCCCGAGGTTTCTTTCGCCTAACGAGACTCGATGTGGAGGTTCTGTATGGTGTCTTTTTCTGAATGAGAGCGTCGTAGCCGCCCGCGAACAAAGAGTGTGTTTAGCGCATAATCCTTCGACTTCCTCTAGACCAGAGAACACCGTTTAGCGCTAAAGACCGGTCCTTTTGGTCAGAGGATTCGGTGAAACAGTGCGAGTCCCTTGTAGAGAACAGCTCCGTGTCGTTTTGCTATGCTTGCTCTCCCTCCTCCCTTGGAAAGTTCTTCCAGCTCATTGAAGCGACCGGAATCGCTGAACACGAGAACGATTCCGAGCAGCGTATGTCCGTCTTGGTATAGTATGCTGTACCCCCTCGGCAGCCGGCCGGAGTTCGAACCCATCCGTCAGCCATTCATTGATTCACTCAGTCAGTCAGGTTATTCTTATTGTTGTTGTCGCCGCTGTCGTCGTTGATGCTACTGCCGCCGTTGCAGTCGTTTTCGTATGTCTGTAAGGTTGACTGGTGCTCTAAGGCGGTTTCTCGGTTCTGCTCGTTGGTCTTTTCTCTTCTTGGTGAGGAGGAGAATCCTCTTTCCATCTCACTCAGTTCTTTCTGATAGCTCCCTCTAGTGGGCAGGCCACATCGGTGCGCACTGGGCAGTATAACACGAACCTCTGCGTGCTTGCACTGTCATGTGAAGGAGCCTACGAAAGTTTTTTTGTTTGTTTTTTTTGTATGGTGTCACGCGGATCAATTTCCCAGGAAGTTCGAAGTTCGGAGAGTGGTGTAGAACTTCCCAAGTCTTCAGTTTTGGCTACTATCATCCCCGCAGGCATGATCTCAACAATTGTGTGAGTATTCTAAACTTGATCCCGGATAATCCGCGCGAGCACATCCGGGCCAATCGGAGGAAATCACTCGGAGAAGCTCTCGAGCCAGAAAATGGAGGGAGCGAAATGTTCTGAATTCACCTCTGGATGCCGCTTGGGGATCTGAGGGCGATATGTCATAGTTGGAAAAGAAACACTATGCTCATGGAGGCTTCACAGTGTAACCACCAGAATTTTCGCAGCTCCTATGACAGCAGAATTGTTCAGTGCTTGAGAGAAACTTGGAATCGCTCGATTCGGGAGAGGGTTCGGAAGAACAGAAAACTTTGGGGACCCTCATGCGCGCTTAACTTCACGGCAACCTTCCTCGCCGCGGAGCGGGAACGTCCACCACTGGGAAAGGACGGATTTTCACCATTGTTCGGGCTGTCTGAAAACTCCGTGTTCAAGTACCGAGCGGACTCCGGACAGCTATGATACGGAAGCGAGTGGGAGTCCTTCCTCCCGGTGATCCGAGACTCGCCGTCATCGCGCTTGACGCGGGAGATTCTTGAAGGGTCTTTGCGACACATATGACGCTAGTCCGGTGCTCGCTCCTCTGACAGGTACATCGCATGATAATCTTGCGCGTCAGAACCTTGCGATCGGACCTCGGCTCCACGTTGCGCCATTGCTCCTCGGAAACAGAACTCGATCAGAACACAAGGGTAGACCACGGTTTATTTTTCCCGAATCATCGAGATTACAGCTTGGATGATGTAAAGGTTGCCGTGTCACGCGATTTATCCGGCGACACGAGAGGGGAAATCGGCGAGTTTTCCACCTAACAAGACGATGAGCGCCATCCGTTCCGCTGCGAATCACAACCTCCTCATTATTGCCGCAGACTGGCCGCTGCGAGCAGTAGATCAGTCGTTGCGGGAGGCCTGACTTCTTTCAATCTGACATTTACTTCACTAGCCAGTCGTCCAGTCAGCCCTCCAGGGCGAGAGCCGAGTGCGCACCAAAGCTCTCGTTCAGTGCCATTTACTAACTATGATATAATTGAAAAACAGTCACGCCTAGCGCTCGTACCCGACCAGATCCGAGCTCCACGAAGGTCCGCTTAGGAGTCCGTTCGGGAAACTCGAAATAGTTCCTATAATGCGGTATGGAGATGAACTCACGTGGAGTCGCCAAAAGTATCGCCGGTACGACGACAAAGAAGCTCATCAGGCAGCGAGAGCGATGGACTGGCTCCGATAATGGCGACAAACCACACAACGTGCGCCGTTCGGCTCGAGTGCGACTCCCGGAAAACCTGTCGAACAGAGTGACGGACGGACGTTTTAGGCTAACCAAAAGCTTCCCCGATGCCGAGTCGCCCGACAACACGGGACTCGAGCTGCTTGACTGTAAGCGCGTGTTTGTAGTTCTCCTTTCGGAAGCGTTAACTCGGCGAATGAAAAGACCCTCGCTGGCTGGCTAGGTTCAAATACCGTCCTTGGTGAGACGCGCCCTGCAGTCTGTGGGTATTGCTTGACTTTCTCGTTCAGCTGCCCCGACTTTGCTTCCCAACCAACTGACCGACCGATGGGATAACCGGCGGACTGGACTTCGCTGTCTCCAGTGATTTCCCTCTGTCACTCATTGGGACGAGCCTCCGCACGAGAGGAGTACTGGTTAGACGAATGAAATTCCGTGCGGGTGACAGTCGGGACTTCAGCTAGGATGTTCGGGACGGAACTGGTTCTAGCTTGGCATGCCCGGTTTTCTTTTAACTTTTCCGGCTTTTTGGCACGAAGATTACTTTCTAGAAGACGACTCCAGCCGACTCATTAGTGGAAGGGGTTGGGAATAGGTACCGATCGTCGAAGAGACGCATAGCAAACAGATGTCGAAGACGAGTGCGATGACAAGAAGAATAGCAAGTAGTCGAGCAAAGCGGGGAACGAGATTTCGGGAAGAGACGAACGCCGACTCGGGATTGACATGTGCTTGTAGGTTCACATGTATGGACAGACAGATATTGCTGCGTGCGAGTGAGCGAATGAATCGGTAAGCGCGCTTCCGATGACACGGGAATCCAGATCGCCGACAAGGCGGTGGCGGTCTGCTGTAGGTTGACACGACCCTTCGAAATCCATCATTTCTTTCGACCTTTCTCTGTCGGCCTTCCGTGAGATGCCAAATCGAATCTGTTGTTGAAGCTTGAGGGAGTTGATCAACGGAAAAAAAATCTGACGGATCCCGATCACGAATTCATCGAGGATCGAGCGAATCTCAGACTGTTGTCGACAACGCTTGTGTAAACTGAACGGGTGGACGGACAGAAAGAATATTGTATAAACATGAACTCGGAACGAGCGACTCGAAGAGTTCGAGCTGTACAAGAGATGCAGGGCATCGCCAATCTTTCCCGGGGAATTCGAGAGGTTCTTATGGATGAGCATTCCATCGGGGCGCTATTTTTTTTAACACGTGCGATACAGAAAAAAAAACATAATTGTCCGGCAATTTTTCTCCATCATTCGGTACAGGTTTTGTGAGTCTGCTGTCTCCCCTCCGGTTTTTGTTCTGGCAGACTTGCAAAATGGAAGAGCACTGAAAGTCGACGAGATGCTGTCAATGAGCTGTTCAGATCCTGCCGGGACAACGAAAATCGGGTCGTAGGACTGTTTGAATTGGATGGGGGAGCCCGATAATTGAGGTCTTCCTCATGGTCGCATCTTGGCACAGGCAGGAGCGGCCAGACCTACAAACTCGGTCTGTAGCAGCGGCAACGATCGTGTTGGTGGCGGCGGCGGCGGCAGATGACGGCGACGATGATGACAATGGCTTCCTGTTGAAAAGCGTCCTGATGCTACCGCTGATTCCCCATGTGCCGCTGTTGAAGACGATTCCTAGAACGGAAGCTGAGAGGCCGTCCGAAGTTAGATTATCTAGTCTTTATCTTTAGCACACCCACCTTCCTCGTCAAGAAGGGAATTCTTTGATGGAATTCGTTTTTCTCTCCGAAGTCGTTGTCGTCGTCGTAAGCGTCTTCTTGAACGAGCAAACGATCTCCTACGGACCGGCTCTCGTCCGACTCGATCCAATGCTAGATCGAATCGAGAGATATCGTCTCAGTCAGTCGCTTTTTTTCGCGTACAACCAGAAGCTACTCCTTGATCTCTGGTCCTCCGAGAAGCTCAACCGTCGGAACTGACACTCTCTTCGCCCGTGACATAGAAGAATGCCTGGAACATTTGTCAGTGATACACTCTTGAAATCTCTCGATCTACCTCGGACGGGCTGGCTGGCTGAACTGCCGACCGGACTCCCGCCGACGAGGCTGATCATCAGAGTCGTAGGGCACAATTAGAGAGCTCTAACACACGAGAGGAAAACTTTACTTCTCAGAGTCGTTCTGTCGATCTAGATATTGAGATTTTGCTGAGTTCGTCTGTCTGCCTCTCAATCCGTTGATTTCTCGGACAAGATCCGTCTTGGAGGAGGAACTCGCCTTTCGCGTCGGAACTCCTCACGCCGGCCGGCAGTCAAATACTCACCGAGTCAGTCAGTCAGCCAGTCATTCGCCACTCACGAATGGGCAGTCGGGTACACAGGGCAGTCGAGGAGGCTGTTGGCCATCTACTCTTGTGGGGTCCAAAGTAGGCGGTACCACAAAACAAACAAGGTGGGTCTTCTTAAGTTGGCCCTCACATAATAATCATCGCCTCCATGTTGATAACGACGTCAGTAAGAGGCGAAGACCACCCCTCAGAGCGAGCAGATCCGCTCGATCGCGGCCTCTTCTATTAGAAGACAATTATCATCCGACTTTTGTTTGTGCATAGCTCCGATTGAATTAAATGTTAGGTTCTCGTAATTCTCTCCTTATCCCGTGTGGCTCGTTTCATCCTTTGGACCTTCAATGTCGACAATCTCCTCGATAATTCCGTCTGGGTGCACAACGTTCTAGTGCGTCTCTGCGAAATTCGAAGGCGCCCCAAGCTGCTACTGCCGCCGCCCCCGAAGGTGACCGAAGACGCCTCATTTTATTGCTGCTGATAAGAGAAGTTGAGGTGGGAATACCGACTTCAGATAAGGCATCGGAAATCATTAGCTCGACGGGCTTAGCCTTCTTTATGGCTTCATCGAAGGCTCGAGCCGGGTACCGCCCGTGACGAGGGTTTCCCGATTATAAAACGCAGCTCTGAGAATTCTGCTTTCATCTTGTCGCCGGTCTGAAACTCGCCTCGACTTTAGAAAGGATTGTCCGGCGCTCTCCGTGAACACCCATCGACTAGTGTTTCCTGCGGACTGCTTTTCATCGCTGGAAGAGAGAGAATTATCTAGACGTGTCGAGTTGCAGAGGTTGATGTCTTTCACTTATGGTCATCAGCATCGAATTACGCACCACCGCTACGTCGAGGTAGACAACAACAGCAGCAACAACAGCGCAATATAATTCACACAGCGGAGTTTGAGAGGCGGAAAAGGGCGGCTATGCAACTCTGACCTTTCGCGCAAATGACGCGGATCTCATCCGGCCCTCCGCGTCGGAATGTTCTTTGATAGGGACGAGCTACTCTCCGTGCGGGAGATTACTCAAAGAAATTCTTTTAAGGGCACCTATTGCCTCCGCTTGATTCGTCGACGATAATCTCATCGAAAACCTTGCGAAGCTGTAGTACGAGTACTCATAAGACCTCTTGCTTTTCAGATATTTAAGCGCCATCGTTGCGATAGCGTCCCGAGCGAAGGCTCTGACGGGATTCGATGAACAGATCATTGACAGGACAGCATTAAATGTGAGACGCTAAGAAAAACGCGGAGAATCGCGCGAGCTTTTCTCCTCGATATTTCCCACATCGTCTCCAATGCTCTATGAAGAGCTTTTTCCTTGATCGAGATTTTTTTACAGTCAATTCTGCGGAGCAAACTGCAAGACATAATTGGGACGTCGGACCCTGAGGTCCTTGACCTCAAGCTGGCCCGCCGCATGAAACGTAGCATCCCGCAGTATATGCTGGACTTGTACTCGGCGCAGCACCGGTTCATGCATTCAAATGAGGACGATGACGATATTCCGATCGATCATCATCAGGTGTTGACCAGAGAAGCCGTCGACACCGTACGGAGTTACCTCCACAGCGGTGAGTTAGGATTCGAGACTGACTGAGGAAGAGCTGAGCTCAATGAAATTATGCGGAGATCGACGAGAAGTCACGTCTCTCATTCAGTAGTTTTGACGTGGAAAGCCTCGGTTTTCAGAGCGCGGCGATGAAGAACTCTACGGTTCCAATCGTATCCGGTTCATGTTCAACATATCCTTCGAGAATATCGCGAAGGAGGAGCGATTAGCAGGTGCAGATCTTCGTCTGTACAAACCGAAGCTGCGTGATGTCGATTACAATGGCGAATCGCAGACTGTCCAAGTCTACGACATTATCAGACCGGCTACTCGGAAAAATCCTGACGCCATACTGAGATTGCTAGACACGAAGCGAATGTCCGGGAGCACTCAACGTCACTCCTGGGTCGGGCTGGACGTATTCGAGGCTGTGCAGCGATGGAAAACCGAACCCAACTACGGACTGTACGTGCAGGTGTTCCAGGAGAGAGAGAACAGCACCGAATCGGTTTCTTTTCCGTACGTTCTGCTCAAGAATACGAGAGGTCAAATAAACGAAACGTCGTGGGACAATCAGCAGCCGATACTTCTGACTTACCACGCGAGCAAGCCGAGTACGAGGGAGAGCATGCCTCTACTTCGGAGTAAGAGGGGTGCTTTGCGACATCATCGAAGGAAAAATCACAACCGCCAGAAGTAGGTTGCGGCTGCGGGAGAACGCTGGAGTCGAGAGGAATTATAGGATTTCGAACGATGCTATCTATGAATGAAGTTAACTATGCAGTCCCCTAATTTTCGACTTTTTCATCTACAGAGAACAGTGTCGTCGTCACAGTTTGAATATCAACTTCAGCGACGTGGGCTGGAGTGACTGGATCGTGGCTCCGCAGGGCTATAATGCTTTCTACTGTCACGGAAACTGTCCATTCCCCATTCCGGAACACTTGAATGGTACAAATCACGCGATCGTCCAGACGCTCGTCAACTCGATGCGGAAAAACGGAAACGGTGTGCCCAAAGCTTGCTGTGTTCCCACGGAACTCAGTTCGATTTCTATGCTGTACGTCGACGCCTACGAACGAGTCGTTCTCAAGAACTATCAGGACATGGTTGTCCTGGGCTGCGGATGCAGATGAATGCCGCAATGAGCTGTCGATGTTCGTACGAGTGATTTATTTCCGGGAAAAAAGGAATTCTCGCTGTATTTATTTGTACATTTGATTTTATGAATTCATAGGTACGAAGCTGGACGCGATCTTGATGCTTGGAATCCTAGGTAGCTTGTGTAAGATGTTTTGAATAAATCGAAATCAATCCTATGTCGTGGCATGAAACCGGTGACTTCAGTTTCAGTTTCATACCGTTTACATGAAAACAAATTTTCATATCGTCAGAGGAAAGAGAAACTATCGCACGAGATCGTTGCCAGGCGGACTGCGATCGTCGGGAAGAATTTACAAGGTAGTAACACCACTATGGCGGCCTCACCACCATCCACCAGAGGCTTGGCCGCGGCTGCTCGCCCCTCCTCCATAGGATGCTCCATAGCCTCCGTCGTTGACGATCAAAACTTTCGCGACGCGAGGTGATCCCCCGCTTTTTGCGAGGATTTCACCTCCATGATCGATAGTTCGAACCTGATGAATTGTCCTTATGATGTGTGAAGGACCGGCGACAGTGAGAGAGGATCCAGCTCCTCCGCCACTCGATCCCGAGCCGCGAGCTGCCAAGAGCACGACCCGACCACCTGTGGCTCCGTTCGAGTAACCAGCGCTAGAACCGCCGTGAGAGTATCCTCCGGTTATGAAACCGGCATTCGCAGCAGCGCAGACAACGGCGAGAACAACACAAAAAACTTTCATGTTGAATATCCTTTGAATAGATGTGATATCTGATCGTACAATCGGCTGGCTTTTATACGACTAGAAACAGTGTTTACTCTGCGATTATCGATTCAGTGGCAGATCTCATGACGTCCCGTAGTCCTTCGTTGTGATTGTCACGTACGGACATTCAATTATCGTAGTTGGGCAGTAATTCACACGCTCTACGTGTTTGGCTTTCGCCCGCATCTCTGATTGCTCGTTCGAAATCTTTTTGGAAATGCACCTGATCGCTGCTCTATTCTGCTTATCTATAATCGAAGCGGATAGGATGCGTCTAAACGCTTCCCCGAATTAGCAGAAGAAGTAATTGAGGATCTGAATCTAAGATTTCAGCTAATCGATTGTCTTGATACCACGGGACGCTCTTTGGCGGAGTATATACCTCACCCATTCATAGTCTTTACGTGTGGGAACTGCGATATCTTATTGGTGAGAGAGTGGTTCGAGTATCCCGTGAACTGGCTGAGTGATACTACTCTGACAACAGACAGCCGGGCGACGAGACGAAGATCCGTCAATCCCATTCAAAGAAAGTAAACAGATAGATAAAAAGTCTTTGTATCTATTGTATCCTAAGTGGGGTCAAATCCAAACAAATAGAATCACATTCTCGGAATGTCAATTTATTATTCGTTCAGGGCAGCCTCAATGGTACTGGGTGTCGAATATAAGATTACGACGAATTTTTTCATCGTATTTGCGTCGATTTTGATTCCGTTTGAATATTTTCCAGCTCACGATTTCGAGAATGCCCCGGATGAGTATGTCGACAATGTAGAAGGCGAATAAATAGGAATATCCGAGATAAAGACCCATGGTGCCCGCGATCGAATTGAGGAGATCTTTCCAGCTCGTTTGCATCACCTGTTTGGCACGAGAAACGACGATATCCCTAGGAGGCTCGGGGGCTTTTTGGTTTCATCTTCGCATCGCAACCATTCGTCAATCATGAAAAGCTACCAACCTTTCTGCGGACGTGGATCTTGTTCGAATGCATGTACACGTATACTGTCGATGTTGAGGCGTTACCGACGTCTTTCTGAAGCCTGGGGTGCCAGAACAAGGCGGAATTCGTTTTTATGTATTGGTCCTCGACGCAAGCACTGTAACATCCGCACCGAAGTGGATTCTTTTCGATGTTTTTGGTCACTTCGATCGCACAGGTCAAACTACTCTCCTGCCCTTGGGAGGGAATGACATACGAGCATTCAACGGACGCGACGTTGGCGGGTCGGATGAATCTAAAATCGATGCATTTGCAGGCCTCCAACACCGCGATTTGAGTACACAGCTGAAATCGTAGGGAAGACGCGTTCTCAATCATATTCCGGGCGCTTGAGACAATGGATTATAGACTGGGGGCTTTCAAAAGGGTAAGATCAAGCACATTCCTGTATCTCGCAAGCCACGATTTCGATACCTCCCGACACACGAGCGTCGTGTAGACTTTCTTCAATTCGGGCTCCAGATATTGAAGCAGCTCGGGAGGATAGGTCTCAGTGCAAGGATCCCTAGATGGTGGGGGAAGTCTCACGACTTGCTCTTTTTGCAGTCCTATATAGGTCGTCGCTCTCGGGTGGACGAAGACAGCGTCCTCGGCAGCGTTGATCTTCTCCTCAGGACTATGGATCATGATCACATGTCCTGCAATTCATTGGCTCATCATAATTCCCTCGAGCAGGAGATTACAATGAATACACATCCCCAGATTCCGCACCGACGAACGGGAAGGACCCTACGACCCAACTCACCGACAGTGGTGAGCATGGGCAGATATTCATACTCCAAAACGTTGAGATTCAACATCAAGCCGTTGAGGTGGGTTTCGAATTGAACGACCGGTTCTTCGCCTTCGGCGAAAAGACTGTAACACATCCCGTATGACGGCTGAAGATTCTGAAGGACACAGGCGATTTTACCATTCTATCCGATCGCGGCTAAATGTACGATAAGGGAGGTCTGCGTTCCACTAATGCCTACTACAACCTTCCTGAATTTCGAGAAACAATCCTTGTTGTTGAACAAGCACATCGAAATCAGCGAGCCGGGATCCGGATAGCTCAGAAGACTCAATAGCTCGCGTCCTTTCTCGAAACTCATCAGATTTCCGTGCCATTCGTAGAAATACTTGCTGGAATCGCAGATGCAATCTATGAGAGATTCCGTGTGGTCGTAGGGTCTCGTTCTACGCCCCCGGATAAGAGACTCATTGATGCTTGATTGAGAACTCGATCCTAGTGGCTATGATAGACTCGGAGGGGGTAGAGTACTTGGCCTTCCTTCCCTCGTCGTTATTACGGGTCCCGAAAACAATTCTGTAGCGTTCGCGCTCCGAGTCTTCACCGGAGCAAAGATTTTGATAGTACAATGAGATGAAAGTTTCGCAATTTGAAGTTTTGCACGTTTTGTTGGTTTCTGTCTCTATGCGGTGTCTGTTTTCGGCCTTGCAGAAGCTAGACGTGTAGATTGGGTTCTTGTTACAGACTGTCACCTCTGGCATCATCATGTAAGCAGACCGGGGCTCCTCAATCGTAACCTGGGAATCATTGTGAGCGCTGCTGTAGTGGCTCGCAGCGGATGCTCGGCGAGAGAATACACTGTCAGTAATAAGAATTCTGATCGGTACTTGATCTCAAAGATATGACCTGCAAGGTTGTATTGTATTCCAGGTAATTTTCCACGTGTTCTTCAACGTCGGCCACCGTCTCGAACACCAGGTAAACGAAAGCCACAGCGAAGAGCAGGCGAGGGATCGGAGGGCCGAATCCGAACACATTCCGAAGCCCAGGCAGGGTGGCTTCGGCGAACAACAATTGGAAGACGATGACCCATGTGGGTTTCCGGAACTCGAAGAGCTTTTTGAATGTTGGCAACCGGCTACACTTGAAAAACCTGCCACACTCGAAACCTTTGAGGGACGGCAGCCGCAATCTGGGACAAGAGGGAGGCCAGCGAGCTAGCCAATTCACTCTCGACATCTCTGAATATTACTTCGAAAATACCGGCAGCTCTGACGCGAAGCTCAACCCCGTCCGACAGTGGCGTGAAGAGTTCCATCCGACCGGCCTCTGGTCATCGGTTTATGGAGTCAGGGTCAGGGACGATCGGAGAAATGCTCATCCAGTATTGAGCCAAAACCTCACGGGACGTGGGCCCCGGAAGTCGTGCCAGCGGAATGGATTCCGTTGAAGCGGAAGTTGGCGACAGAAATGATTCGGATCCCACTGAGATAAGGCACAGAGGTTCTTTTATTACCTAGAGTTATTGGAAATATATACAAAACATTATGATTTACAGCGTGATCACGCTCCCGCCACCCGTGCCCGACGCATTTTTGTTGCACGAATCGTTGTCGTGCATCATTGTGTGGTCCCTTATTTCATCTTCGTCTACGTCGCTGCTAACGCCACCCGAGGACGCGTGGGACATTTGTGAGCTTCTCGAAGTTGATCCTCTTCTGGGAGGTAGGAGTGTACCCGTGCCGCCGGCTCCTTGATTGGCTGGCCGGATAGTGACGATTAAATTTGAGGAGTTCGCAACCATCATGTCGGTAACCTGATCTAATGATTTGCCCGCAACCTGCATGATAATCAAGAAATTAGAACGAGTCCAGATCATCGAGTTCCTCACTGACGGGGATTCAGTGATCGATTGATCCGGCGAACGATATATCCGCGTCGGTTCCGAGCTACTGCATTCTACGTCGAGGAACTCACCTCGATGCCGTTGACCTCTAGAACCTCATCGTTGACAGCGAGAAGTCCCGTGGACTCCGCGAGTCCTCCAGGCACGAGTCGAGAGATGAAGATGCCGGGAACTTTTTCTAGCCCTTGAAGGGTCACTCTCACCGATGTTCCGTCTCGGATGTAAAATCCTGGAAATGAACACCAGGCTCAGCACGTCGGGAAAGTTCACCTGTCCGATTCGCTATACCGGCGAGAAGGGAGCATCGGGCTCGTACCGAGTGGTCGATCGGATCCGTGTTTCACGAGTCTCACTCTCCGACAAGTTTCGGGAACTTGATCTACGTCAATGATCGAAGAGACTTGACGGAAGTCTTCTGGCAACGAGATCTGAGGTTTACTTTTCTCGGAGTTCCCCATGGGAAGATACGCTGCAAAAAATCCTTTCCGTGTGCGAACTCCGTAACTATTGAGACCTGGAAACATGGGTTCTAAGTTTAGTCGCAGTGAAACGTCGGTGAGATCTATTCAAGATGTGTCGGTCGTGAGCAGATACCTCCCATCCGGATAATGCAAACTCACCTTCCCACTGATTACCCTTCCTTTGTACGAACACCCGGAGCATGGGCTTTGCGTTGACAACCGCGCGTGCAAAATTCTCATCATTGTTTATCGGGAGCACGTCTCCGTGCAAAGGATCAGTATAGCACAATGTAAACGGGACTTCGGCGAGACAATGGAAGCGCTCGATCATCTGATAAAAGTCATCGAATTTGCTCAGGGATTCCCTTTGTACTGAAAAGCGTCGGATTTCGGCGTCGAACTGGAAGCGATCAGAAGTGGACACGATTAGATACCTTTCCTTCCGGATATTCTGAGTCGGGACTTTCAGGATGTCGGAACCATCGAACGCATGCTTCTTCCTTCGAGAGCCGTCACGCAACTTTGTGATCCTGGCCCGTCGTTACGTGCGGCATCCAGCATTTCACATCATTCGTCCGATGTTTTCACTTTCTAAGAGTTTTCTCCCACCAGAATATTGCTCTGATCGAGAGCACGAATCGTGACATCGGGTCACACCTGGGACCGTCTCGATAACTATAGTTCCGCCTAAGATGACTGTAGTGAAGAAAACGATTTCCTTTCGGATCGTCTGACTCGCTCGGTTGTCCATGACGCGGTACGGTCGGGCGTTCCGCGGTTTACACTGAGACGACGAAAGTCTGGACTAATGTTTGCACTCGGGTCTTTTGCGGTAGAATTGCGGGCGGTACCAGCATCCCTGTCGATAGCGATGCCGACACTGGTGGTGGTAGCAGCGAGAGCCACAGCGACGAAGAAATATGCGAAGGCGTCGATGTTTTTCGAATATCCGCTTAAAAATCAACAAGCGAGCGACGAGGAGAGCTCCGAAGTCTCGTTTCGAGCAAGTCGACCTACAGAATAAGTCCTGCCGACAGCATGAGCCCGACGGGACTCAAGCGCATCGGACAGGCTTGCTAAATATTTTACAATAAAGGACCATTATAAAATAATATGATCCGTAACGCGTAGGGCTTTGGAGAAAATCGGGCAGCGAATGCGCCGAAAATTCATTCGGGCGATGGTTTCACTCGGGTGCCGAGGCGGTTTCGCCGGCACACGCGCACGGTTTCACTGTTAGCTTCACTGAACTAGAACTTAAATCGCTGAGCTATCGCTCGAATCAGAAGCTCTTCTTTCAATTGGGGAAAATGAATCTTGCAAGTCGGGTAGAAGCGGGAATCACATTATTTAGCTCGTCTGAGCTGGAGGGTCCCGTACTTCTTAGAATCGAGGCTCCGAACATATTTCCGATGCATATCATGATCGAGTTCGAGTGAATTCTACTCGCCGCCACACGAATCGTTCCGAAGTGGATCGGAGATCGATGACATGAGTCGGGGCGATGCAATCGAGAGCCGTCGCACGCAACCGGAAATACATATTTGCCCCAGCTGAATGAAAGCACCGACTGGAAAAGTCGACACGCGTACGGATGGGGAAAACGATCGCGTCAATCGAGTAGAGGAGCAGGGAAGAAAATCGCCGCCATGAACAATTTTACGTCTACGGGAGGCTGTCCCGAGCGACACCGGCTCCATCGACCGTCAAGCGCCAAGTGAAGTCGATAATCTCAATGAGGCCCTTGGCGAAGAGCCATGGCGTTCTCGTGTTGTTGTTGTCAGAGTGCCGAGCTCCAGCCGGTCGCCGTCGTCAAGTGGGGCTCGGAATCTGACATTCGACACAAAGTCACACTTCGCCCGCAGAGAGCAACCGAACAGTCGAGTCCGGCGGACTCTCCCGCCAGATTTCGTATCAGTGACAGCTATGACATGTTTACGTCGATTCTCCAACACAACCGACCACTGCCCCCGAGTTCCATGGAATCGATGTCACTCTGGACGCGAGACTCACATCGTCAAGCGTCAGGTCTCCGTGCGCCCGCACTTATGTCTCGAAAGGTCAGAGAGGAGCACTCGCTGCTCGCAATCGGTAGCGTATCAGCTACGTCGGAGCCATTTTTCGGAACCGTGTCGCCCCTCTGACTCATGTTGAGCAACCCAGGGATGGGGGGGAACACATCGAACACCGAACGCAATCGTTGGCGATTCCTAACACTGACGGTTTCCAGTTTCGACAGACTCCTGATGGAATTCTGAAGGTTCACACTGGGCTTCTTACCTTGGTTTTGACTTCTACAAGAAGTCCCGGGGCTTCTCTACGGGACATTTCGCTGTCCACTGCCTGCCCCAAACACCACTAAAAGCAGACTTAGCTTGTGTTTATTTCCTTCAACGTGGGATAGTACCGCATCGGACGCCCTTCTGCACCCGGAAATGAGAGCGCGCCAAAATTCAAAATTGCCCCGCTGGGGAGACCCGATATAGGAAGCCTTTTACATTTAATTCGAGAAATTCCTCCTCTTTTCTCGCATCTTGGCGAGTTGAGTTCCTGGGACTACCCGATGCTGATCTGGTATGACATCTTACGGCATTTCTCAGTTCTGCAGAGTGCTGCCCGTAACCTCGCGTCGAGGAAGAATTCTGCGGAACGTATCGGATATTGCCCTCCCTGAGTTCTAAGCGCTATTGACGCCGGCAAAGACGACGATTCACATATTTCGACTCCTCATTTGAAGCAATCTGAAGCAACTGATGGACGAGCTCTATTCGCGCCCGTGTCTCGACGACACCAACTGAGGAGTCGGTCTGACTCACTGACATCCGAGAATGCCACAGGACCCCATCGAAGCTTGATCCACCGGTGGAGGTGCTGCCGCTTGAATGTCTCTCATTCAGGGCTGGGGAGCCTAGGCGGCTATTCCTCATCGCTCCCGAGCTTCGCGGTCGATAGGTGTTTCCCAACGCTCGACGAATACTCCGAAAAATTCACAATCCAGCCTGTGATACAGACCTCGCTGTTCGCCTCGAGCCTAGAAATGGAAGATGAAGCTAGGACTTCTGAGAATCGCGGTTTGGATCGAAGATTTTTTGAAGCGTCCGCGAACATTCCTCATTAGGAAACACCTTCTGAACACGAATCTTGGAAGCGAAGAGAAATTGTCGCCGGGGCTCTCCAGCCCTGATGATGAGACACTTCAGTTGCAGCTCCTCCATCGGTGTGGTGGCTTGGTGGTCGAGACCGCTCACTGCAGAGTATTGTCTATCATGAGGTTCACCGGTTCGAGCCCTCGTGCCGGTCGGTCATGGACGTTTCCGTGTTGCAGATCATATTAGGAGCTAGTGCCGAAATAATCATTAGGGTCTTGGTCGCCGACAATAGGTCACGAGCCGTTCGGAAAAGTATCGCCGTCACCATGACGGCAACTAGCCCCGGAAAAAATGATCGCCGCGGCTACCCACCGGAATCTCTGCACTAGAGAGCTCTCGCAAGCCGGAGCGAGCCTTGAGCTTTTCTTGTTTTCCGGATCACATTAGGCGGAGCGAGAAGAATGAGTCGCTCTGATCTCTCCTCGTACTACAGAATGCTGAGCGAGTCCGATTCAGTGAATATCGTAATTGCGACGGTAAATATCGTGAATCTATTCAGACAATGATCCTCCCATCGAATGATCCGAATGGAGCAGGCGGGGAGTAATTAGAGACTTACCCCATGAAAGAACTCATTCAATGCACAAACGTCCGAATTTCTTCTTTCGAGAATCAGCGCCCCAGAAGGAACTGAGAGCCCGCGCCTCTGCCACCTCCCCCACGAACTCGACCGAAAACAATTATTGATTCGGCTCACGGTCACTCCTTCAGCAAGTCATGGTCTGGTTGCCGATATGCGCTGTACAACCCCCTCTCCTAATCATTTACATGTATTCAAGCCTCGAACAAGTTTGAAGCCCAACAGCTCACAAAACTTACACGCAGACAACGCATCCCCCATACACCTCTTCAGAGGCTACTCACCGCTGACTGAGTGAGCTATTCACAAAGGGGACGAACAATTCTTTATCACAGCCTAAGCATATCAAGTCAAAACTTTTGGACGGAGTCCGACGTGATGACTTTGGTGACTGAAACTGAGCGTGAACACCGCGCGGTGAGCGCCAAGGCGAGAAGCATGATCAGGGTTAGGAGTAAATTCAGAGCTGTCAATATCTCGTAGTTCGTATTGTCCATCATGATGCCGGAAATGAACGGTCCGAGCATGGTTCCGATCGAAGACGCTGGGTTGAACAGTGCCATTAAGGAGGCATATATGTCCTTGCTTGGACTCGAGCCGCCGATTTGCCGCAAGGATTGGAGATAGCAACAGACGAACATGGGTCCAGAACCCAAGCCCAGCAGCACCTGTCCCAGGCAGAAAATCCAGAGACGTGTTTCGAAAAGTGTCTTCTGTCCAAGGAGGGAGATACCGACGACAACGACAATTAAGCCCAGCAAGACGATATTTCTCGGGTCCCTGACTTTTTTCGAATAATAGCCAGAGACCAAACTCGCGACCGCGTAAGAGATGCCGCTGAAGAGAAACACTATCCCCGATTCCGAGGACTTGAAGCCGTAATCCTTATTCAATTTGACGGCCAGCGTCGACTCGTTGAAAGAGATGAGGTAAAAAGCGTGGTAACATGCCAACGCGTTGACCAACACCGGTATGCTCCAAATTGAGCAGGAATTGTGTTGGCCGTCGTCGGCCTCCTGTTTTGGCTCCGCGCGTTCCGAGTCCGGGAAGAAGCAAAAGGCGCTCAGGGTGAAAGCCAGAAGAGATCCACCTATCGAGACGAATGGCAAAAAGAAACCGGAAAGGTTCAAGAAGCCACTCACGACAGGGCCGACGACAACCGAAGCACCGTAAATGGTCTCCAACAGCGGTATGACCACATGATTTATCTTCTCGAGCTGAGCACCGGCGATTACGTAGAGCATGAGCACTGCAGACGCCCGTCCGATGGCTTGTACTACTCGCATGAGTAGACAAAAGAGGAAGAAGTGCGTCTTCGAAGATATCTCCGAGGCGGCTGCCATGAATAGGGTGAACACGGCGTCGAGCGTCATCCCCGAGCACAGGATCGTCTTGTCGGTGAAGGCTCGCGCTGCGACCAATGCCGCGGTCAGTGGGGTGATGATGAGGACCATCACGCTGTACGAACCGAGAATTATGCCGTACTGCGTGGCGGACAGGTGACGCTCACGAATCGCGTATACGTTGAAGAAGGATCCCAGATGAGAGTATGTGATCCCTTCGAGGAAACATGCCACGCACAAATACAGCAGCATCCGTCTCCACGAGGGAGGCATGGTGCCTCTGAAAATCAAAGCGATTAGACAGTACGAATATTGGACCACTTCTCCATAATCGGATTACGCGGAAGACAGTGAACAGTGTGGAGGAATAATAAAAAAACTTGTTCAGAGAGCACATAGAGGTGATGGACTTTCCATAACATCCTCACGCCTGAGGTAGTAGAAAACGATTCAAAGCGCAGAAGATTGACTCTTGAAGATGATGGAATGACTTATTTGATGAATGGTCTGATCGAGGGCCGGCGATCCGCCGCGAATTTCCACGTCGCCCGGGCTCGTGGAGATAGAATGCACTTCAACTCACCTAGGAGTGAAAAATTTGGATGGAATGGATGGATCCCCGGGGAAGGTCTTTCGGATGTGGAATCAGCTGAGTGAGCTAAACCTCCCATGCGATAAGAGATCGGTGATTGCGAAAATTGATTCCGCTCTTCCACGACTCCGTGTCTCTTACAGGCGGAGTTGCTGACTAACGAGAACTGACCTGATCTATAATTGCCAGAACTGACGCTCTGAGAACGACCGGCAGCACGAAATCTCATTGGACTCGAAGCCAGGATTCGAAGATGTTGTTTGTCTGCACCAAAAATCCGAGTTACGGGTTCAATCCGAATGCTCACAATCAAATCTCTACCGATTTCACTACGGATAGATTGGAGCAGGTAGAGGCCTCCACCGGAGACCGGGCTCGCTCGGAGGCGGCTGAGCGTAGAGTGCTGAGTCGGTGCTCCACATTCAAACTCGATATAGTTTTCGCATGCTCGGCGGTCGAGGACATCGACTTGGAATGAAGCAGTCCATGCTGTCACCGGAATGGGAATTTTCCCTACGAGTATGCGGAAAAACCTCGGCGAGACGAGACTCGAAGATCGAGTATCGACGACATCAGCACACAGACATGACTCTCGTGCTCAAGAGCAATCAAGTCCCCGAAGCAGCTGCAGCTTCCCGCTAGGAACTCCTCGGAAGGCACAATCGAAATCAACTCGACTGCGCACACTACGGAGCTTCAATGAACAACCGCGAACCTCATCAGATGTGTATGAGCTACCAGAGCTGATAACACGCGGTCGAATCGAACAGTGTTGTAAATTAGCAATATTATCATTCTTATGATAATGATCATTATTATGTCATTATCGACTAGTTATCATTAGCCAGAAACTAATTCACGAGGGATCGCCTGGGAACGATCGACGGTCCCCAAGATGCATAAACTCTGAGGACTATGTCACTGACATTTGACTCCACAGAAGTCAAAGTGATGCAATATTCGGATTAGGAGAAGCTACTGGATGCCCTCCTTCCCTGGTCGTACCTAACGGATCTCTTCTCCCTCGATGGTAGATGAACTCTGTTCCTTGGTAGAACAACAGCTGTCATCGATCTCTCCTATCGTGTGACCTCGTCCCCGATTAGTTAATTCATGTCCGACCTCTCCGAAAGCCTCCACATGCCACACAGCGCCTTTGAACAGAAACTCACCCTCTGGACAAGTCGCTGCAAGACTCTTTGCGAACATTCGAGCAAGTTTTGCAGGATGGTCTTCGCTTCTTGAAAGCAGCGAGCAACGAGCTGGTGCAAGAACCCGACTCTGATTGATTTCAATTCTGAACAGCCACAGGCTCCCGAATCTTGGTGTTCTACTCACGAGGGGGCAGACACTTGCTCGTCGTTTCGAGCGAGAACGGAGATTCGCTCAAAATGAATGCCTGTCGATGCCATACAATAGCCTATGAACTCCAAGAGACATCAAGTACCTGATTCAGAGCTTGGGATTCGATCTCACGACAGGAAGCGGTTCTTAAGATACCGCAGCGAGCTTGAGGGCTGCCTTAGTCATTTGAGTCGTCAAGGACTCTGGGACCGCCGGACCTTGGTCCGCGTGAATTCCTTGTTGTTCAATGATCGTAGCTAGACGGCTGCAGTCGTCGACTTGTTTGGACAGCTTTCGCTTGACTCCGGGCACGCTAACGTATTACATAAGAGTAGAATCCTGAGTCAACTCCCTAACGATATTTGATTGCCCGATGAGAGCGAGGTGGGCATGTGAGCTCGGTACATCGGTCCCATTGCTGCTAGTCTCTTTCTCTCGTCAAATTGAGCGACGGATAGTTCTCCAGGAGGCGGATAGCGCCTCGAGTATCGGTCCGGCGGGTCCCAATAAAATCAATTCCTAAGGGCACAGGTGGTCGCATGCGAGTTAATAATGCGGAACTCATCTTTCGATTCTGATAAGCATGGTTCCTAGTGCAGCGGTCTCCAACCCTCCTGTCCCTCGAGACCCCCTCCGAATCACGGGGTCGGTTCGCGGGTCTCCTGCGATGAAGTCTCGGGAGGAGAGGAGATACATATGTTCGTTCATGTATGCTCTACGGTTCTCCAACGTATCTCACGATTGGTAATATATTCACTCTAACTTAACTTATGATCGAGTATGGATGCTATTATTCAAGCTTTTTTTTGCTCTCTCGAATCTACCATACTCTGCTGACACCTCAAGGATTAATCATCTGACATCTCCGAAACCCTCTGGAACACGTCTCAAAACCCTCTGGGAATCCCTGCCTTGGCGAGAGCAGATTTGCGGGAACCCGCCGTTCGAAGCTTAGGACAATTGTATATACGCTCACATTCAACATTCGCGTTCGCACGGCCTGGACAGCTTGGCTCGTAACTCGGTTCCGGTTGAGCTCAGAATCGATCAGCTCGCCGTGCCTAAGAGTCCGCCAGAGGGACCGAGTCGTTTTTTCAAATAATACGGTGAACTGAGAAGCGACAAATGTTATGTCCCGAGAACGTTCGGAAGTCGACGGCGCCGTATCGAGCCAACTATGAAGAATGAAGTTTTCATTCCATGCCCTCGACTAAGTTCGCAAGCTCCGAGGAATCGGAGGCGCATACCTCACGGAGCGAGTGGACTGGGCTTTCGCAGCCGGAGCCGACACGACGGTTAGCGGCCCTCCTGGCACACTTTGCTCCTGGCAATGTAGGGGCGTGCTAGAAGGAATCCTTCATCATTGTCTGATCCAGGAAACTTGATGGACCGATACACCTGAGATTCGGTCTGTGCGAAGCTCTGAACGAGAGAGTTGAGACCTGACCTCTCAACACCTCACCCTCGACCCGAGCTCCGTATCGCTAGCTCGACCTCGTCTTTCCTGAGCTCCTCCTGCGTGAAAATTCAGGAGTGGAATTTTGACAATCGAGCTCTTGGCTAGGTAAACTTTCAGGGTCCACGATAGACGACGGCTCGATTGCTTCAACAGTCTTTCTGGACTCGGAGATCTCGGTGGTAGGCCTCAATGGCTGTGCAAGAGAATCGTCTTCGGAGCTAGCTCCGGCTGTGCGGAGAGGAAAACCGTTCAATGAAACTCTTTCCGGCTCAGCGGGATTCCATCATAGGGGAGCTGAGCACGAGCTCTCTATTATTCTCGGTCGGCCGAGAGCAGCCGTCCAGATTCCCTCGTAGCGAAGCGATACACGACTTCCGCTGAGGTGCTCTCCCACGGGCAAGATTGTCGACACAGTGAGAGTCTAGATAGGTTCTCGTATTCTCCCTCAATAGGGGAACACTCTCCGGAGGGAGACTCCTGACCGAGATGAACGAGTCGAATGTTAGGGGGTCTTCTGAATATCGAAGAAGTATGCTCCCGACGCAGAGGGGCGAACATCAAGCTCGCGAGCGTCGGTCCCCTCTTAATCTCATATTTCGCCCTCACTCTGCGACGCGTGGTATTGTTGACGTCGTCGGTCTGGAACCAACATCTACAGGAGGGATCGGCAACAAAACCAATGGTTCCGAAAAGTTCCCGACCTGATGGTGTCTTTCGTCACGCAAGGAAAAAGGATCGGCCCGCGGCTTCCGCTCAATCGTAGCCTCAAGGCCGAGGCGGATGAGCGGCACGACTTGACATGGCCTGCTCGAATCGGCAAATTGGCTATAGAGGCCAGGCCGTCGGTCCGCTTCAAAGGACCGATGGTGGTTGTCGGCGTGGCTGGAATGGAAAAAGACTGAGTGGATCCATCACGCTGAAAACCAAGCACAATATAGCTTCGCGATCCCCAGGAGTACCGTGAAAATCATCGAGGTTCTTTCGGCGGGCACGTTGCGAACCAGGAAGACGACGATCTTCATTCTCAATGACTCATCGCTGTAGCCAAGATTGCCAAACAAAGTCCCCTGGCATTCGCAGCGATCGCGTGCTCACTGTCCTTCAGCGTCGGGGAATTCGTCAAGAATCTTGTAGATCAATCCTCAGCTCTGTCGAGTCTGAGTGCCCCAAAAGTTGCTCTATAGCTACCTCCCATAGATAATAATCATTCCCGCATCCGTTTGTCGACGAAAGCCTCTGTGTATTCCAGACAGTTCATTATATCATTTCGCCTTTTCCAGGATCACATTTCCTCAGGATGTTTCACGCTGCGACCGATCGGCCATTGAGCTATCCCCAATCCCCACAACTCGGGAAACATTTCGCAGAACACGTGGTCGAGCGGATTGCTCGCCAAGCCCTTTCTTGAGGGCTCAAAACGAATTATCCAAAACGAGCTCTCAGACTCTTCCCATGCTGCAGGAAGTCGCATATATCTTGCCAACGTGACTAGATGTCCGATTCTTGCAGCTCCAAACATTTTCAAGCTCGACTGATGGAGTCAGATCTTTATTTTCTGCTGTGCGGATCATGGGTCGAATCGGGCCACGTGTCGATTAGACTCATTGCTCAACGATGGAGAACAAGGATGTCACGCAAGCTTGAAGCGGTTCCTTGGCGCATCCTATACTGATTGTCACTTTCACATGTGCCTGCAGAGCGAATCACATAATTAGCTCGGGATGGACTCCATGATTTTTTCTGGAAGACGATACCGGACACAGTAATGAGTTCGGCCCATATCGGAGGATACGGTACGGCTCGCACGTATTCTGAATTTCTTAGCTATGACGGATGAGTTCATGAGCAAATATTCTCACAGTGGGGTATACGGAGAGGATGGGAACTGAGACTCGCGCTGTCTTCACTCCACTGCTGCCCACTTCAAGGTCGTCTTCTGGACCTACGAACTCGCCCTTGACTCCCGGCAGGTTCATCAGATGATCTGCGATCTCTACCGCAGCTTTCCCTTTTGTCGCGTTCTTCTTGCCTGATGCGGAGACGACCCGCTTGAGAACGTATACACATGGAGCACTTCGCGTCCAACTCATTCAAATACTAAATCGTCAGAGAAGACAACTTGAAAAGACCGAGGAGGCTACGTATCTCGAATATCTTACATCCGAGGAACAATCCCCTCATCTCGACGATGGCCTTGGTTCCTTTAACAACATCGCACGGCTCTTTTGAGCAGGGGGTCAGACTCACGCTGTCGAGTCGTCCCGAAGCATCTTGAAAATGGCAAATAAGCATTCCTGACGGAAATTCTACGATCTGAAAACTCGAATGATGACGGATTCGAGTCTCGAGCCCGTATCCATTTTTCAATTCTCTTACCGCAGACTTCGAAAGATGATAGCTGTAGTTGGCCTTGTGCCGAGTACGGCAACCCAGCGTATAACACTGTGAAAATCACTAATTTCCGGAATTCGGCCATGGCGAGAAGACGGACAACCTCTCTCGGAGAATCGAGCGTCTATGATCGAGACGTCATCCGGAGAAGTTCGAGAATCGTCAGATCTGCTTCTCCGGGCTCTCGGTGGGGGATTTAGATGTCAGAAATGCTTATGCAAATGCAGATTCTAGCAATCGAGATTGATGGTCTCGGCTGTGGACCTCGACTAATGACCATGAGGCATTAGATTTGCTCTAGCCGATGTGCGAATCTATCGGTCACTGATCGGAATTTAGTGGTCATATGGGGAGGAGTGACACTTTCACGAGAGTTCCCGGGTCCAGAACCTGCGATTCGCTGGTCTGATAACTGATGGAACATCGGAGACCCTCTCTTTCCGAAGCGCTCCCGAGATTCGGGGGCTAAGGATCAAATCAGGACGCTGAGACATATTGTCAGTGCATTACCTAATCACCACATTGTTGGGTGAGGAGGAGCGAGTTCCTAGTCGTCGAAAAACGACGTAGGGAAAACGAAGACCCTGGTAGAATGGAAAACTCTTGTCTAGACAGTTCTGAGCGCTTCAGTCAGCGCTTCATGTTTTTTGAAAAAGTCTCTCCGTCTCAACGCGTAACTCACGCAATACGTGTTTGATCACCGAGACCAGACACGGCAAGCCTACAATTTCATGTTGGCTCGCCTGGTCAATCGATATAAATGCCCGGAGCCGCAGAGGAAAGACATAAGCTTTGCCGAGCTACAACAGAAAGACATCATGAAATTCGCTGCGTTCGTCGCTGCCATCTCGGCTCTCCTCGCGGCTGCGTCCGGGAAGCCTTGTGGGAGCAGCCCACCGTGAGTATATTGCTTACTCCACCCGATTCCGAGAGATTCGAGGATCTGGCCGAGACTGGGACCGTTGGCTCATTAGGGTTGTCGAACGATCTTGGATTATTCTTCTTCCAGTCCTTCTTGAATTCAACCGGTGGATCTCACGCGAAGCTGCCTCCATGGATTGTTCCAATAAAGCGCTTCGCATGAATCTGAGAGAGTCCTCTCAAACTTGAGTTCCGTGGAGCAGAGAATCTCTCGTCTACGTTTTCGAGGAACTGCTGGGGCTTTTCCGCTTCTGAGCGAGACTCCGAGTTCTGATAAGTCGAATACCTATAGCGAGCGATTCAACCCATAAGCTCGGAGACCAGCGGTTGATCGGCATTCGAGACCGCTCCCGTCTCTGCTTGTCAGAGAATGCTTCCTTCTACAGCTCCCTGACGAGCTATTCGGAAAGAGAACCCGCTGATAATATCGAATCGAAACCCGAACGACGGGTTGACTCGAATAGC